GATTATATCTCTCGGCTGGCCTGGGAACGCCTTGGTATTCCCCCGGACAAGCTGGAGGAGGTGGCTGGGGAGAGGGAGGTCTGGACCTCTTTGCTTAGGCTGCTACCCCCGCGACCCGACCTCGGATAAGCGGATGAAGATGGATGGATGGATGGATAATTTTGGGGAGGTCATGACAGTTTAGGAGCAGCAACAGCAAAGGCCTGATTTCCTTTGTGGATCCTGGGACAGCTAGGAGCATTTGGTCCACAGACCTCGATGATCTTGAAAGAGTGTACAAAATCAACTGGTCAAAAAGGTACAACACACAAACTTCAAAGGAGGAGCAGTTTACAATGTTTTGTCTTGAAGCCACAAAAGAGACTGGTTTAACCCTCCTGCATACTGTGATTGTGATATGGATGGAACATTTCTAGTCTAACTTTATTCCTCACCATCTGCCTTACTCCCAGAAGTGACAGAAACCACTGATCTGTCCATATGTGTGGATGGTTATATAAAATCTCAGGATATGAAAATCAAAGAACAGAAACATCTTTGACCTCATGTACTGAGACTGTCTGCATTACAGTTCATATATTAGTTGTAGCAAATCATCATTAAAACGAACCATGAATTCTAAGTTGTCATTTCAAATTTTGAGTTAGATTTATATATAGACATATATATAGATTTGTATCAGTTAGATATAACTGAATGAATTTTAGTATATCTATTGACTTTTTTCAACATCTGTAGTCCCAGAAATTTACTAAAATGTAACTCTCTACTGTCCTCATCTCACCTCCAATCAAATTCCATCTTCACACTTACAGTTTTTACTCTTTTTTTCTCTTCAGGAGTCCAGGTTGGGGGAAAACACAGTTCTACAGGTAAAAGGAGAAATCAGAGAGAAATTAAGGATCACACAACCAGAATCAGCACTAACGTTAAATATTTCCAGAAGTAAATTCATTTTTTACTGACGACTCTCTCCTTTCTGTTAGAGCCTGATGATGTCAGGCTGGTGGGAGGAGCCAGTCACTGTGCAGGAACACTGGAGGCAAAACATCTGGGAGAGTGGAGACCATTGTGTGCCTCTCATGATTCCTGGACCCTGAAAGAAGCAGCTGTTTTCTGTGAATACCTGGACTGTGGCTCTGCTGTTCATGTAGAAGAAAGACATTCCTCATATAAATCTGCGTGGTCTATCAGTTCTGATTGTGTTCTGTCCAGATCTCCTCTGAGGGAATGTACAACATCAGATTACACTGACCAAATCCTGAAACTCACCTGTGCAGGTACACTGGAGGCAAAGAGCCCCCCACTCTTGGGTGGTTGTGGCCGGCCAGGGCCTCTGGGGTCTTTTCCTGTCAGCCTCTGGCTCTTGGGTTCATTGTTGCAATGTCTTACCCTAATTTTGTAGTATGCTTCATGACAGAAACTCATATACAGCCACATTTCTCTTTCTCACTTTCTCTCTCTGTCACTCACTTGTACAGACAAACAAATAGCAACATTTTATCTTTATTTAGGTACTTTCCTTTGTCTTGTCTTTCAGCTGTTGTATATGGTTTTCCAGTGTTTTGTTACAGATGAAGACCCAACATGTTTTTTTTCCTGACTACTTAATGGAGTCAGCAGCACTCAGTTTACAGATTCCACAAGACAGGGGCAATACTACATATCAACAAAAGAGAATCCCAGTAGGCTACGGCTTTAATAACCGCTGAGGAGATGAAATATAAACATGATGCTAACATATCTCCTGTTATAAAGATGTGTTCTGTTGTTAATGATGAAGTCATGTTGGAGTTGTGCTGAGTTTGAGTCAGTGAATAGTTGTTTGCTGCCATCTTTTTCTTGTGTCTCTGCTGTCTCTGATCTCTCTGTTTGATCTTCTCTGA